AGTTCTGATGTCTCTAATACTATTTAAACCATGGAGGAATTCACTAGAAGTTTTTTGTTTTTTTTTATCTCGTATCAGCTCAGTAGAACGTTGTATTTTCTTGAAGATTAAGTTGTAATCAGCCTTTCAGTTTTGTACGTTTGAATAAATATATTAACATATATGAAGAAACACATTTTTACACAAAAAAAATACGATTTGATTTATCGCAATGTAAGCAGAGAAAGTTGCTCAAAAAAGAGTAAAAGTAAAAATAAAATCGGCGTTAACGTTTGTCTGGTTGCTATCAGTAGTGATTGGAGCAAACGTCTGCATTCTTAGAGAGTTGCAAGATTTTAACATATTACGACGGCTTTAGAAAGAAAAGAAAATAGAAAGAGAGAAAAAGAAAGAGAAAGGACGAAATGATTTTTTTTCTATTCTTCAGACCAAAGGCAGTTAAATGAGAAAGAATCCTTAGTGAGCCATCGAATGGTGCGAATTAGAATATAAAAGAGAAAGAACATAGGATTTTATTAGGAAAAGAAAAAGAAAGGCAATGAAGATGAAAGTGAAAATACAGACGAAAAGGCAGTAAAGTATTGTAAAATAAAGAGGAAAAGCAAACGACATCTTTATCTTTATAGATGGCCACTATTATTCGTGGATACCCGTCTACTAGGGCGCCTAACCAATCCTTATTACAGACGCTTGCTAAGGTGCATTTGAGTTTATTCAACACCCAGAGAGCCAAACTGTGGTTTATACTGCAACTATGCTGAGAAAACCTTAGTTACAGTTTCTGGGAAAGAACGTGTTTATCTGGCGTGATCAACAATTTGAACAAGGCCAGCACACGCTCAAGCCCTCGGCCACGATGACTTGTGACTTCGTGCTAGCACTGTTACCGACGGCTCCAAGGGGTCCGTCTTCCCTTCAGAAGTTCGATAACATCACACACACACACACGCATATATATATATATATATATATATATATATATATATATATATATATATATATATATATATTTCTCCTTCCGATGATGGCCAATTTGGTCGAAACTAGTCGAGGAATCTAAATGAAATAATAATAAAAAAAAAACGAAAGAATATTAATCTACAACCCAGTCAGTCTAAAGATTTTAATTTTTTAATTTTTTTTTTATATATTATATATATATATATATATATATATATATATATATATATATATATGAGGTTAGCTCAAACCTTAAAGTCTACTGAAAATAAATCCTTCTAGTCTTCTTCCTCGTTTACCCCACCGCCACCATTATATGTTCATAAATTTGAATCTTTCTTTCTCTTTCTCCCTCAATACGATATCTGTAAGCCTTGAATTTAATCTGGAGTAATTTTTCTGTTTATATTTGGTTTACAGGTTTGAAGGATTTGAAGCTATTTTTTAGCTTTCATGAAATAAAGATTATTACCTAGAGTAACTTTTAAGTGTTTGATATTCATTAATTTAATATATATATATATATATATATATATATATATATATATATATATATATATATATAATAAGACATGTCTCATTGAATGATTTAGACAACTTTTGTCTACTTATTTTCAATAGGAACCTCTCGTATTCACGGAGAAGCTTCTTTGTAACCTTTTTCAAAAGGAGAGAAAATTACCATGTTGATACATATTCATTTATTCCCTTTACTTTCGACATTAGCACAATGTCACCATCGGGATATTGTTTTTTCTACGACAAAATTGTTGTGTTCATCTGAAAGTTAAACCTTTAAATGTGAAGAGAGAAACGCTAAGTTTATGTGCTGTACGATTTAAATTTCACGATGTAAACGTCAAGGGAGGTAAATAAGTTTTGAAATATCCATGTTTTTTTTTTTTTTTAAAAAAACAAAAAAAAAATAAGTAAAACTATTAGTTAAAACCTAAATTCTTTAAACTATCTACTGTAAACTTTTAAAAATATTTGTGCAGTATTCATAATTAATTTTATTAGGGGTTGGTTTCAGTAGTCGATCACATATCAACATTTATATTGATATATTACTAAAGTTTGTTGATCGGCAGGCAAGTCACCCTTACGGAAAATGGGGAAAGTTCTTCTAGTTAAGAAAATACTTCGGACCATAACGGCATTAAAACACTGTTTATAGTCCGGCGTATTTTCTCAGTCACGGACAGACTCCATTTAGACATACTGGAGTCTGTTACTATTAATATACAGCGTCCTGCCCTTTGTAGACAACGGGAGTTGAAATTATAAGCTGACTCTATTCGGGGAACCAGTTGTCTAACTGGGAAGGAATTTAGTATTCCCCCCCATTCTGTCCTCCATTTTGGTATTTATATTTTTATATCAGTTGTTGGTAAAATTTTTCTTATCAACTACTTCGTTTTATTTTGCCAACGATTATATTTCTGAAGAAGTGTCGGTCGAAAGGCGACTTAAATCTTAAAACGTGATACTTTTGTATCTTAATTTAATAATAAAATTATGATCCCTGTCCTTAATATATATATATATATATATATATATATATATATATATATATATATATTGTGAAACTCCCTTATGGCTCCACGCTTTCTAGCCAACTTTAATCTGCAAAACTTGAAATGATTTAGGTACCACCAATAATTCGGTATAACCTAAGGCTTTGAATTTTCATAAATGGAAAATTCTATTGATTGGAGTCGATTCATTGGTTTGGAGGTGGGAGGCTAGAAATAGCTGATTAGTGTCCTTTCTTAGCCATCTGTCATCGCAGTGATATTTTTTTTTATTAAAAAATCTTCCAAAAATAAAATATACTTTCCTGAAATTGAAATTGAGAGCGATTGACATTTAAAATGATTACTCTTTTATCTTCCCGCTCATTATTAATGTTTCTGTTCCTAATTCTTCCACAACCTGTAATCTCTTGTGTCTCAGTGGCTTTACTGCCTTGGATGGAGTGATACCGATTATATATATATATATATATATATATATATATATATATATATATATATATATATATAGCGTTATATATAAGAATGAAACAGGTTAACCTCAGTGTCCAATTTTTATATTTTATTGTCTACATACGCTCCATCTCGGATATTGAGCACTATTACTCATAAATTTTTTTATCATATCTATGTAATAAATATAAATGTCTTATATAGAATATCTGAATAAAGTGTGCAAGGAGTAATATAAGAAAATCAGTTGAGTGGTTTAAATTTTCATTCACTTGTGTATTTGGGCAGCAATCCCTCTTTTATACAAGTTTCATTAAAGACGTCTAACAAGGTTCTGTGATTTAGCTTTTTATTTAATCTTTTTTTTGTTTTGTTTTTTCTTTGGACACAAAGTATGAAAAAACTGTCCAAACGTTCCGCATAACCGAGCACTTTCGGCTATTATCAAGGATGAATGTTTGATTTTTTTTAAGTTAAATATTATGCCGATGAAACCATCTTTAACGAAAACATCTTTTTCTTTTCTCTCTCTCTCTCTCTCTCTCTATATATATATATATATAAACGTTTTGCCATTTGTCAAATTTCTTCAAAACCGTGCCATGATTCTATGTCCTATTTTAAACATATATATACCTATATAAGTGATAGACATTAAGGAGGTTTTGAGAAAATCAATAATTTATCAAGTCTAGAAGAAACCACAACTATATTTGGGACTCATCAGCAGTGCGCATCCACTAGGGAGAATTGAAACCTGGACAGTTACGATAGGAGGCAAACGATATACCAACTGAACCAACGGGCCTCGGTGACAAGGAGTTAATGAATTAGACTCGTTCATATATTCCGTGGTGGAACTCCTCCAAGTTTACCTTTCCCATTAGACTGGGCCCCCATCCAGAGAATTAGAAGCCGGTTCAAGCAAGTATATACAAGTGATAGAATTTAAATCCTCCTCAAATCCTCTTTAATTTCAATATATATGTATATATATATATACATATATATATATATATATATATATATATATATATATATATATATATATATATATATATATATATTATATATATATATATATATATATATACATGTATATATGGCCTGACGATTGCATATAGCATGAAACAGACTGTCGTCTCTAAGTGTTGACTTCTATGTTCACTTTTATATATTTACACGCTCTCTCTCTGTTATTGAGCACTTTATTCCATAAATATATCATACCTTAAGACATATATATATATATATATATATATATATATATATATATATATATATATATATATATGCTAGATGACTCTGCACCATGCCACACAAGCAGGAGAACCCAGTCAGTGCTGTTGAACAATTTTTGCGACGACATCACCTCTTACATCTGGCTACCTAACTTCCCAGACTGCAAACTCCTTGATAATTATGTGAGGCGTAGTTAAGCGAGAAAGCAACAAAACTTCTTAAAACGCCAAAGATGAATTGAAGGCAAGTCTTATGGCAGCATTCACCAACATAAACAAGGAGACTCTCCAAAAGTTGCAGGAGATTTCGAAGTCGTCTGGAAGCCGTGGATAATGCCAATGGCTATTTTATTCAATAATTGTACTCTTTAGTATTTCAAAATATTTTCTTGTAATGTTGGTAAATATATTTGATTTTTTTTTTCTTTGGCCTTGAAAAAAAAGCCAACTCTTAACAATATTAACTACGAACAAGGTCACAATGTGCTAACTGTATTCGGAAAACATCCCCACAACACACTAAAACATACACATAATGCACGCACTCAATTAAGCTGAAAAATTGAACCATCCTTGATAATGGCTAAAGGTATAGCCGAAAGCACACATTTGGACAGTTTTTACACACTCTTTGTCCAGAAAAGAAAGCCCTGGTTCGAACACAAGAAAAATTAAATAAAAAGCTTAACCGAAGTACCTTGTCTGTCGTTTTTACTGAAACATATATATATATATATATATATATATATATATATATATATATATATCGAGAGAGGGAGAGAGACAGACAGACAGACAGAGAAGAATTAAC